GTACATAAGTTGGAACATGTATATGTTTACACTTTACGCAAGACATTTTTCTGGACTCTCCTGTTACGAAACTAACAAACAGGTGACGAGTTTTACTATAGTGCAAGGCATATGATGCACGATGCGAGGCATGGAAAAAAGTGCGAAGTATGCGAGGTAGAAGTGCGAGGCATGAAAAAAAGTGCGAGGCATGAAAAAAAGTGCGAGGCATGAAAAAAAGTGCGAGGCATGAAAAAAAGTGCGAGTCAGGCAGATGTGCCAGTGGGAGGCAGACACAATGACTGACTCCAAAATTTGACGATATTTAACATATTGAACATACTGAACTTGACGCTGGACAAACGGACAAATGTGAACGACATTCTAGTTTTAATATTAAAAAGTTCTGTCTGTACATTATAGTTTTAAATAACTACAGCACTCCAGTCAAAACGTCAAAAAGTAAACATTAACCTAGACAATAGCTCAACAAGTGACAAGCTTCACTAAAAATTATGGAATATTAACTATTTTGCGTTGTTCATCTGTCAATTGAAAAACTACGTTCATACAAACTCGATAAGGTTTTATAAACGAATTTCTGGGTAATTTGGAAATGCATTTAAACCAAGGGAAAGCAATGGCCCAAGGGCAGTAGAAAAAAAGGCCCGTCAGGACTCGCGGGATTGCCTCACATGCCTCGCAGCCTTCCTCGCATCAGTCGCATGCCTCGTATGCTTCGCGGGCTTGCCATTGCCTCGCAGTTTGTGTGCACCCACAGGTGACCTTCTTCTACATATGCTACAACTTGAAGAAAAAGATATATGTACATGAGCAAAATAAAAACTGTCAAAAACTCAAAATGGTTGTCAAAAACTCAAAATGGAAGCGACAAGGAGCAACTTCGATGTTTTTCCATCATTTACAAAGGATCTGCTTTAATAGCTACTGTTTTAATATTGTAGTTTACTTTTTTGTTTTTACTTAATCCCCCCCCCCCATCAATATAAAACGTAAACTTAAAAATAACACTGCTTGTTGTTTATAGACAGTCATATAATTCTATTTTATATATATATATATATATATATATATATATATATATATATATATATATATATATATATATATATATATATATATATATATATATATATATATATATATATATATATATATATATATATATATATATATATATATATATAATATATATACGAGCAGTGAGGCAGCTATAAATTTTATACAGTTGTTATTCAGTTGACAGCTATAGTTTTTCATGATAAAGCGCTCAACATTGGCGTTGATTTTATTTCCCAGAATCCACTAACAAACATTTTAAAATTATTTATATATTCATAGGTATATAGATTTGCTTTGTAAATATATATCGTAACATGGTCTGAAACAGACTACCTGACTGTCGCCTGAACTACCGCAAAATAAGCTTTTTTAAGAGTCTCGCGTGAGGCCCCACGGCAATAACACAAGCCAGTTTTTATATACAACATGTATCCATGCTATAGCATTCCGTGGACGAAATATAAAAAAATTCACGATTATCGCACATAGTAAATTAACCTTTCAACTTATGTACTTTTATTGTATTTACCTAGCTTTAATTCTATTAGTTTACATATGCAGAGAAAGCATTAAACAAAAATGAGAAATTATAAGACTTCAAAAGCTTACAGACTGCAGACATACAGTATTAAATATACAATCAGGCCCTGTTTACACTATACCGGATTCGCTGGTCACGACATCTTCTTTTGCCGTTACGGAGCAATGGTTAGTAGCAAATGCTTAATAGTTTGATAGAATTGTCATGTTTATTTGGGTCTCTGAGATTAAAAATCTTCACAGCCTTTCGATACCTACAAAATTTGACCCACTCCGATAGCAATCCGGTATAGTGTAAACGGGGCCTCAGTAACAACACGCGAATTGCTATAAATAGCAACGTTACAGTCTAGTAATGATATGATGATTTGTTGTGCTTTTGTTGTAAGTAGGCCTATCACTAAAATATATTGAAAATCCTTCTAAACGATTCTTTATAATGTATACAAAGCATATACATTGATATCGAAACACAAAATTCAAAGTTTTGAACAATTTGAGCTTCGTGACTCTGGTATAGACGTATGGGCTTAATGATTTAATTGTGTTACATTCCACTGAAAATCACCAAAATGAGCTTTTTTAAAAGTCTCGCGTGAGGCTCCGAGGCAATAACCCAAGCTAGTTTTTATATATAACATGTACTCATGCTATACCATTCCGTGGATGAAATATAAACAAATTCACGATTATCGCACATAGTAAATTTCCCCTTCAAATCCAGTGACAAAATGCAATTCTCAAATTTGACTAAAAATAGTCAATTTCAACAACGTCTGTCAGGCCAGCTAAAGCCTCCTGGGCCATTCCATATTGATAAAATTGTTCTTTAATACTTGAATTATAGTAATTATACCATCAAAACTATCAATGGGCAGTTTTGAATCCGTCGCGAAGTGATGAAACTGACCATGGCAGCGGCTTTGTCTGCGGCTAATTATAGCCTCCTGGGGACAAATTCTTGATTTCTGATATTTGTACGTTTATCGACCAAATATTGAAAATCTAACCCAAACACCATTTATAACTAGGTATTACCTTAATTTGAGCAAAATATGAACGAAATATATTTTTCGTGTATTGCCGCAGAATTCAAATTTTGCTCGATTTTTACGGACAGTCGCTCTTAAGAAGTCTATTAAACAAGGGACATTATTTTTTGAAATTTTACCAAAAATATACTAAATTACTTGATTTTTTTGAAATTTACCAAAATTTTATTTTACCAAAACTTTCCCAAAAATTACCAAATTTTACCAAAAGTAAATTAATTTACCAAATCTGGTCACACTGGTAACTATAGCAAGGTAAAAATATCCAGCTGGAGTAACTGGTGAGACATCATTAGTGATAATGAAATATAATTAACAATTATTGAATGAGGTTGAGCACGATATGAAGAATTATCAACCAAAGCCGAAGGCTGAGGTTGATAATGGCAAACTGAGGGCTTGATAATTCTTATATTGTGCGAAAACCGAATTCAATAATTGTTTTATTATTTATTTAAAAAATTCAAAACAAACATTTGTATTTTATTTGTATTAAGAAAAAAACAATTCCTTAGTCCTTCGGCAGCAGTCGTTGCATCATATCAATGGTGTCAGTGAGTCAATATGATTCTCGTTGTCATAGTAATATGGCGCAAACACGTCCAAATTTTTTTCATATTGACTCTTTGACGTCATTTTGCTAATATCAATGTGAAAAATCCATATTTGGTTAGCCATTGAGTTGATATGACAATTTCACAGTTGGCTGTTAGCCAATCAGAAACCAGGGATTTTTTAAATAAATAATAATTGTATTTAATAGATGCTTTGGAAATTGAAAATCATTAGCAGGAAGACAAAGGGAAATGTTGACAATGTGTTTTAAGGAGGCACAAGGGAGCAGAAACAAGGGAAGCAGAAACGTCCTGTTGGCAAGTTTGCTAACATGGAATGGGATAAGCAAGGGATGAAAGATTAAGTAAATAGTTATGAAGATGACACTTTGATCAGCTGGCTTGAGTCAGCAAGACTATTCCAAATCAAAAACAAGACTGGCAAGTTAGCTCAAAACAGTGGTCAAATTGCTATGAAGTGGCTGAAGTCGGAAGGAGTTAATGTGGAAAGATTTACCAAGAGGAGAGAATGTAATCAGGGCAATATAAGAAAAAAATTAAGAAGAGGTGCAGGTTGTGAAATCACTCTTCCATGTCCTGAAACCAATGGAAAAGTGCTGAAGAAAAACTTTTGTCAGACAACAACAATAATAATTTATTTGTACCTTAATACAATTATCATGGTAAAATTACAATTATTAAAAATAATATAAATAATTGCCACAGGCTTCAAGAAATAACCTTAAGAGGCTAAAAATGCCAGGAAGCCCACTTTGCAGACATTTTGATATTCAGATTATTTTAAGGTTGAAAACTAGTATATATATATATATATATATATATCAAGGTACAAACACAAAGAGGTCATATTCAAATCACAACATATAACAAGAACGGTTTGAATATAACAAAACACACACACAGGACAGCACACATATCTACATTATCACACATATCTACATTATCACACATATCTACATTATCACACAATTTTTAAAGGTTAAAATAACTGCAAGCATTTTGTACCACGAGATTCTGTGGCCAGATATTACTAAGTGGAGAAGAAGAGGATAATTATACATGAAAATTAATTTCCAGTTTTTATGGATTATATTCAATATTTTATGGACTATATTCAATATTGATCTAAATAGTCATCTTTCAGCCCTTTTTAAAATTTATAAAAGGAAAACGATTTTACAGTTTCTTCTATACTATTCCACGTTTTAGTTCCCAGAAAGCATATGTTAAATAAACCATAATTAGTTATTGCTTTAGGAAGATAATAAGATTTTTTAGAGGCCAGCCTTGTACTATAGTTGTACTATAGTTGTGAACTGCATCTACTGTTGCAAAAAAGCCATTGAAAGCAGAAGGTAATATTTTGTGGTAGTATTTATGCATAAAACATGCAACATGAAAAGTTATCAAATGATTTTATAAATACAGTAGAACCCCGCTACCTGGAACAAAAAATTGTTCAAGTTAGCGGGGGTTCGGGTTAACCGGAGTTGGTGTCAGATTTAGTTTATTATGTTAATCATTAATAAGGTATAAATGTTTTATTATACTGCTCATCAAAATTACAAAAAGTTTAATTGTGCATCCCTAACTAAAGTTCTTTAGGTATCTTTGATCATTGTGTGTCTTACAGTTCGCACGTTTATTATATTCGCTAAAAAAGAAAGAATCGTGCTTTATATAAACGATGAAATAGATCAGTACTATACATGTTCGGCGAAAAATTATTGAATGTTCCTCTGCTTCTTATTTTTCTGAATGATTCACTCTGTTAGCAAAGATAACTGAACGGTAACTTGGCGAATCTCCTCTTCTCCTCCACAAACATACTGTAAGTGAGCAGGGTATCAATGGACTGTCTCACTTCACTTGTAGCAGGTCGCTTAGGGGCGTCATCTAGCATTTCAATCTTGTCATCAGAATCATCTTCAACGCCGTCATCTGTTTCATGAAACTCTGCTAGGATTTCTTCATCAGTCAAGGATTCCATGTTCGAGGTTAACATGTTTTGATCTGTACCGATTACATAATATAGGGTTACACAGGTTGACACAAGCTCTGGGGAGCTTTCTCTCAAAGACTCCAGCTCCTCGCTTAAAAAACTGAATGGGTCATCAGCGTCACAAACAGCACTTTGCTGCGCTTCACTGCCAATGCCAGCTTTCTTGAGGCAATTCTGAACTGTCTCCGCAGTTACTCTATTCCAAGCGCCAGTCAGGATCATCATAGCATCCAAAATGGTGAATTTCGGAGGTAACATTCCCTTTTCCACAGCGTTAATGTAGTTGCGGACAGTTGCTCCACGGTAAAACGCCTTTATTGATCTGATGACGCCTTGATTCATTGGTTGCGTCGTGCATGTTGTATTCGGTGGCAGGAACACCAAATTAATAGCCTTCAGGTTAGATATGGTAGGGTGGGCAGGGCAGTTATCTACAGTAAGCGCTACTTTTCTGCCTTCGCATGCAAACTTACGATCTTGTTCACGGACCCATTCCTCAAAAAGTGCGCTGTCCATCCAACTTTTCTTTTGAGACCGATATCTACATGGCAAGTTTCTAACTCCTTTGAAGTACCGAGTTTTTTTCGACTTCCCAATGACAAACATTGGTAATTTCTCGCCTACTGCATTACCAGCTGCTAGGCCTGTTAATCGAACTTTACTGTGCTTCCCACCAACACACTTCTCTGATTTCAGTTGCAATGATTTGTCCAGAAGTGCTTTATAAAAGAGGCCAAATTCATTTGCGTTTTATATGTCTCGAAGCTCATAGTTTGAGAGAATAGTTGGAAGAGTCGATTCTTCCCATGACGCGGTCATTTCTTCGGTACACGACTTGGCTTCACCTGAAGAGTTTTGAAAGATATTTCATGCCGACCCTTCCATTGCTGAAACCAGCCATTTGATGCTTTGAAGTTTACTTTATAGCTTTCTCTTTTAGTATTGGACCATTCGCAGGTAATCCCTCATCCCTTACTTTTACAAACCATTTGTAAACAACCTTATCCAGGTTTCATAGTTACTCGATTTTAACTTCTGCATAGAACGATTGTTTCCGCTCTCAAAAGCATTTACAATTTTTTCTTTGTTTTTCAACCACGTGGATAAAGTATTGCGAGGCGCATTATACTCAGCAGCGACGTCCTTTTTTGGAATGCCATGCTCAATCTTCTTGAGGGCTTCATACTTGGTGCTTAATGTTTTAGTGGATAATTTTCGCTTGTTTGTCCTTCATCAAGGGATACCATGCCTACCAATTTGAATAAAAATCCAAGTTTCCGGTTGTAAAAATGCTATGTTCTGACATTTTAAGGTTTGCCGATCTACGACTCAAAAACAAAGTTCAAGTTAACGGGATAAATTTGACCAAGGGAAAACAAAATTTGTTCGAGTTAGCGAGGAGTTCGAGTTAAGCGAGTTAGAGTTAAGCAGAGTAAATTACTATATAAAACAGTGTCAAATCCAAGAGGAATTGGATTTAGTTCGAGTTAGCGAGGAGTTCGAGTTAAGCGAGTTCGAGTTAGCGGGGTTCTACTGTATTCATCATATTCAAATTTCAATGGCATGCCTACTCCTGTTGAAGTGTTAGGTTTCCGTGTCAACAACTACTGCAGGATATGCAATATAAACATTTTGGTATCTGGTCAAGGGAAATTTAACATATTTACAGGAAAAGTTTCAATTAAATATAGTATGGCTGCCAGATTGTCGACAATCTTTGGGACATCAGTTGTTGAATCTGCCGCAAGTATCTTCAGTTATTTGTTTTAAATGTTGAAGAGACATGGAATAGTTTGAAAAACTAAAGAAAGCAATGGACGAATTTCAAAAATTAAGCCTAGACACTTACCATAAGCAAGTTGGACTATCGACTGATGACAATGCGTGTATCAATACGCATGTTGCAAATCAACGTGAAAAGCAATGCCACCAAAGTTCTACAGGCAAAAAAGATAGTCCCTTACGAAAGTACTGATAGACAGTACATAGAATTTAGAAACTTTCCATCAAATTGTGCACTTAAAAACCTGAATATGAAGTTATTAAACCATTAGAAATGTTCCACATAAAGGAATTAAACAAGAAAGAGTTACTACAGTAAGATTTGTTTGAACAATAGTGTTTGTACTCTATGATTGAACTGTACAACTTATTTGAGTGTGCTTTACAAAAGCCAACTTTTCCTACATACGTGGAGTTGCTGTGGTCTTCTAAGGTTTGGTGTATTATTTATAATTGCTACAGTAATAGATTTACTGTATGCCATATATTTAAGGTTACAGGACACTCTTTTTGGCGTTTTGCGGAAAATCGCTACTGCGCGCTCAATATCAGTCTGATTTTCATCATATTTTCACCAAATGTTCTCCAGTGCATGCAAAATATGGTAAACTTGTAAAATTAACAAACAATAAAATAATGTAAGAATTATTCAGGAAAATCTTAAATCGCGGTACCGTTACGCTTTTGAGTTGTGCTCCTACTGATTTTAAGTTATATTTATGAAAATATCATTTTTATACAGTAAAATAGTTGTTCTAAAAAATTGTGTATGGAAATTTTTGTTTATTTCGTCATTCCGCTGATATGGCGATTTCTTTGACAACTGCAATATATTTCTGAATTGTTTGAGTGAATTGCTCTTTATTTTTAAAATATCCAAATTAAAAAAAAAGCCGAAAATGTTTTTGAAACTGACGTCTATAGCTATGTCCTGTGAAAATTTGAGGAAAATTGGTTAAAATCCGCAGGAGCACAACTCGTTTGAAAATCAGTAATTACCGTAAACTTTTTCGGCAGAAAATTGAATTTAAATATTACATTTTCAATGTTTTTCTTATTGCAGCGAAATGTATTTTATTAAATAACGAGTTTTCAACATTTTTCGATCAAACTTGGTCAGATAGTAGAACTAGTCTAATGGTTTCATGGAAACCAATAAAAAAATTTTAGGCAAAATTAACACTCAAAGGTGTTCTGTAAGCTTAATTGGGTTATACTTCTGGCAAGTTGAGCATCACATCCTTACAAATTCCTAGTTGATATTGAAGTTGTTCTTGCATTTTTTTATATTTGTATACTTCATAATGTACTGTATATGGATAAACTATCATGACTTAGATGGTATAAATTAGTCTAATGATGATCTAGGTAACACAGTTATATAAGTTCAAGTGTAATTTGCACAATTTCAACATACAGTAATAATATTTTTTTTTAAATTTGGCTATTGTTTACATTTCATTAATACCTGAAATACTAGAGTCACTAGAAATATGTGAAGCTGAACCATCGTCTGAACTACAATCATGGCCTAATATTTGTGGAAAGCAAGCTAATTAAGAGGCAGTCTCTGTAAGAACCTCATGACCTCTTTGGATCAGGAAATAGATTTCTCTCAAACTTTGTACATGAGATTGCCTTTATAAGGGTTGTTTCAAAATGTTTTCAGTCCGATTGCATTTTGGCAAAGTTCCAGGGGGGTTAAGTTGAGGGCTAAAATTATGATTTTTGCTGTTTCTTGATAGTGGATTTTTACTGATTTTTAAACCTCGGTACATCAAACAAAAATAATGATAAAACTAAATCCTTGCACACAAAATAGTAGCTTTCTATGTCTTAAGTAACAAGGTATCTACACATTTTTCAAATATGTTTTCCAAATATAGAAATGACATCATTCATGACATGACTAAAATAGAGATTTCCAAGTTCCTTAAAAATGGGTGAAATAAAACCCCTATAATGTAATATTATTTGTATGGTGAGATTAAAGGTTGGTCTTACATAATATAAAATTAAATATTGCGGCCTGCAAATTTTGGGGGCACGACAGGCCAACAAAACATCGACATTTTCAACTTTTGGTAGTTTAGATCAAATAAGAATGTTCACCTTTTACTGTAAACTCTGCATTCAAAGAGCGAAATTTTACTTATTATTTCGACCTAGAACAGTGATAAACATTCGTTTGCCCTCTACTGTTGTCATTAAGTTATTTAGGGAAAAGCACTGACACAGGCATTTCCGTTATGTATGGACCGTATTGTATACATTATAACAATTTTCTAGCTGAATATAAACAAGGCAAGTTATAAATTTCCAATAAGTAAAGATGTCTGTTAGTAAACAAATTATCGAACATCGATTTACTTTAAGGAAGATTTATTTAAAAGTCAAGAGAAAACCTACCCCAATATAATTTATACAGAGATGATATATGCCTCGATCAATGATCCCGATTATCAGTTCACTTATTATTTGACGTTCGTCAGCTGTCATTGTTCTTTAGTATTAATCACTTTCGATATCTTAATGATTATTGTAGACACAGTCTCGTATATAAATTTTGATTCTTTGTGCATGCTAGTCAATTCCTCCATCGTTATATAAACTCGATTTTGTTATTGTTATTGCGGAAGCCGCTGACCAGCCAAATAATTCGGCTGTCAAAAAGACATGCAACATGTTGAGAATTGTTTGCTTTCAAAGCTCCAGGTCAAACTTGGCAAAAGTGTGTCAAAGTTTGGTAAAAGTTATGAAATTGTTCCCAATTCTAACAATTTCTAATGTTTGGTTATATTTGTCAGGAATTAATAATGTTAAACTTTGCTCTGTCAAGAATGAAACAAACTAAATCTAATTTTTCTAAATATAGAAACATATCTATATTTAGAAAATATATTTGAAAAATTTATAGATACCTTGTCACTTAGGGCATATAAAACTACTATGGTGTGGAAGGATGTAGGTTTATCATGATTTCTGTTTGATGGAGGCAAAATCTTCAAGGCTACAATGTTTGACAGCCGAATAATTTGGCTGGTCAGCGGCTTCTACCATAACAATATCGAGTAAAACGATGGAGGAATTGACTAGCATAGCCTGTTGACGAAGAATCAAGATTTATTTACAAGACTGTGTCTACAATAGTCATTAACATATCGAATGGGATTGACACTAAAGAATAATGGCAGCTGACGAACGTCAAATAGTAAGTCAATCTAGAACGTCAAATAGTACTGACAATCGGGGTCATTGCATTGAATGACAAGGTTGTGGATCGAGGCATATCTTTGTATCAGTTAATTTAATATTGGAGTACTTTTCTCTTGCCTTTTTAAACTCTTTCTCGACAAGTAGTTTCGTATTACATTACGATTCAATTTTTCTAATGTAAATATCGCGGCGAGTATTTACCCCCCTTTAAAACAAAACCCACCATTGTAATCCTCACAAAATAACCTTTCGAACAGGGGGTCAAGTGCCGTCAAAACATTACACAAACCGAAACAATCATATATTTATACGCACCGCTTTGCCAAACATTCAAAAGAGAAAAAGTTGAATATCTTCAAAACTTTTCGTCATTTTCTGAAAGGCTATATGTGTAAAATACTCTTTGTATTCAAGCGCTTTCGTGTAGAAAGTTTAGTATGAACACGGCGAGTAGAAATATTTCTTTTGAATTTTTCAAGGTATCGGGTTTTACTCGCACACGCTTGTATTACGTAATACATGGCCAATAAGGAGCTCCTTTTAGCCGGGATGACGTCAAACTCACGCATATGGTGCACTTTGACCTGTAGAATCCATTTTTGGCATTTCCAGAGTCACGTGATACAAGCGTAGCATTGTTTTGACAAGTTTTCATAATATTTCCGGTTGGGATTATCGCAAATTCGGAGCACAAATGTAAAATTCGGCACTAAAAGTCACCCTTTAAGGATAGAAGCTTGGAAATAACGTTATACATGGCAGAAGAGTAATTCATCAAGAATATCACAATGAGCATACGTTTCAAGGGGCCGAAGTTATATTCGGTGAAAGGTATGTTTATGTTTTTATAATGTGTTGGTAAAATGCGTAATTTGATCACATACGATCTTGCATTACTTTCAAAGCTCATAAATCACTATAATGTTGCCATTGACTAAAACTATTGCTACGAATGAGGAGATCTAGTTACACTGAATCGAATGGTGGTATT